AGCCTGGGTCAGGATTTGCATTCCCAGCGCAGTCGCACCCCGCGGTGCTGGCACAGGAGCAGCCGGGCTGTGCCAACCCCCGCGCCGCTGCCGTGTCCCTGGCACATCGTCCCACCGCTCACTGTCCCATGGCAGCATCAACCCGGGGTGCTGCGGCCTTCCGCCAAGACGGGGGCGCACCCCAGGCTGGTCATGGGCTCCCCCAGGGAGAAAACACCCTCGTGGGAGGGACGTGCCTGATCCCCAGTGTGCCCGTGACCCTCCTCCTCCAGGTGCACCAAATCCCGAGGCCCACCCAGCCCCGCCTCACAGCGGGCCAAGGAGAAACCCTTCCCAGCAGCTCCCGCCTGGCTGATCCCATAAAACTGGGAGGGAAAAGGGGCTTCCCCTGCTCGGAGCCTCCTGCGGCTGTGGTGAGTGCTGTGGGTTCTGTGTTGCAGGGGGGTGGGCTGTGTCACTCCCCAGTGCAGCCGCCACCAGCCCTGCCAGGGGCCCTGGTCCCTCGGTGGGCATCGCGCGGGCTGTTGGCAAGTGCTTGTGCCTACACGTGAGCCCTGTGCCCCAGGACGTGCCAGGTGGCCCCAGCTAGAGGGGGAGGTTGAAACCCACCGGGGTTCAAGCAGTCGGACCCGAGGAGTGCCTGGTTACTTGTTGTTTGCACATCTCCTTCCCCCCGTGGGATGAGTAAAGGGGGTTAAAACTCTGTAAAAGAAACCAGTTACTCCTGTAAGCCAAGAAACGTGGCGGGGGTGAGCACTGAGCCTGCACTTGGTGTAACTCGCGCTGTGGATGCCGGACCGTGGCCCTCCTGGCGATGAGGGTTTCTCAGGGATAAGATTCATCCTGAAAACACCCATTTTTGTATTTGCCCTCAAACTGTTTTGCAAACCTGACTTGAAGCAAGACCCTGGACTGCTGGTCCCAAACGGAAGCCCCTCCAGGTGGGATGGGTGGGGCTGGGCAGGGACCCTGCGGTGCCAGCTCAGCCCACGGCTGGGTGCGGGGACCCCCGGGGACAGGGGGACCCCAGGTCCCACAGCCCCTCCCTGCCCAGCCCCGTGTTTCTCCACTGTCCAAGGGCTCAGCCATTACCAGTGACAGGCGCGTGCGGCCGGGCTCTCTGCCTGCTATTTCCTTATAATTTAAGAGCCTTCCTCACATTAATCTTTTTATTTTTATTTTGACAAATGTATGTTTCCAGGAAGTTGCTGAGGTCAAAGCAGCATCTGTTGCTCGTTATTTTGGGGGATGCAGAGGGTCTTTGTGAGGGTTTCCAAAGCAACAAGGAATTAAGTGGTTTGTAAAGCAGAGAGCAGGAATGAGGAGCGGGCTGGGGCTTCCCGAAAGGCGGCTGAAGATGCTGATGAAAATCAGATCAGCTCGCCTCTATTTTCTTGGAAACTTGATCTATTTTTCTTGTATGACTGTCAGCCTGGCTCCTGTATTTCAAGTGCTTGGCCACCTCAAGCTCTGTGTTTGGGTTCTGGGATGGGCATGGCCCCGGTCAGACTTGCTCTTGCTGGGTCACGCTGTGCCAGCAGGGCGGACACGGGCTCTGTGGGATGGGAGCGGAGTGAAGCTTTTTGGGAGCTGCAGTGCAGGTCCCCGGTGTGGCTCTGGCTGGGAACACGGGCCGGTGACCCCCAGGACAGTCACCAGCCCTCTCCCTCCACCCCGGGCACGTCCCTCATGCCCCAAAATCACACCACAAATTGCCCCGCACACCCCATGGAGGGACCTGTGGCAAAAGCTGCTTTTTTCTTTCAAAACAACCCGAAGAGAGTCCGGTGCCAAGGCGAGGGCTGTGAGGAGCCCAGGAGATTTATCGCTGAGGAAATACTTTCTCCAGCGAGGGCCGACGGCCGCAGCAGGAACAATGGGAGATTCGCAACGTGAACAAAGCTGATTTCGTTCTTCTTTTTATCAATGCGTTTTCCTTGCGGAGCCTCCCTTCCTGGAAGTGGGAGATGCAGCTTCCCCCGCGCGCTGGCTGTGTAATCAGCAGGAATGGCCATATCCTGGCTGGGAAGCGAGCTGTGAAACGCTGTCGCCCGCTGTGATTTATGAGCCCGTGGCAGCGGCCAGCGGCAGGGCTGGCCCAGGGACAAGGTGCCAGGGCGCGTGCAATATCCACGTATTCTTTCTCCTCCTCGCTGGGTCCCCGGGGAGCTGCCAGAGGAAGTTAATGGATTAGACACACACGTTCCAGTTGATTTTTATTTTTTTATTGCTGTGTCTTTCCAAATGCCTTTAGCAGACGCGCGAGCACAATGGGGTCGGGTGGTGAGCATCCCGGTCAGGCGGGCAGTGGGGCAGCAGCCTGCCTGGAAAGGTCAATGCAGAGAGTATTTGCTTGGGGACACGGGGACAGCCTGTCCTGAGCGGGTATATTCCTTCCCTGCTGGGGAGGGCTCGCAGGGCTGGTGCTCGGCACCAGCTCATTGCCACGGAGGGGCAGAGTTAAGGTGACTCCAGATCCTCCGCAACCGGTGCTGACCAACAGCTTCGGGGCGTCACAGCACCTTGCCCGGGGGGTTATTGGTGCCCGTCAGAGGCAGCCGGCACTGAGCAGGTTCCTCACCGTGCCCAGGGCTGTAACATCCTTCTCGGGGGGCTCACGCCCGTGAAAACGGGCAGTTTTGCTCCCGGGCTCACGCTCCTGCCACGCCGCATTATGCAATCCTCACCCGATACCGGGAATATGAAATAATTATTCCAAGTGATCAGATTTTAATTATGCCACACAGAGGATGATTATTGTACGCCAAATTGGTGCCGAGTGCTTAGTTATGTATATGCCAAATTTAGTCTATACTATTATACCCAGTGGGTGGCCGTAGACAATCAGGAAGTAATTAGTTTTGCTGGAGGTTGTTCGCCTGCCTGGTTCGCTGTGCTGTCTGGGGAGCGTCTTGCTGTGCTCTGTGAATACCGCGGGCTTTGAGTTCAATACCGTCTTTTTGTGACAAGCTAATAAGCTGTCTGCATGGCGGCCTGTAATTAGCGCTGTCGATATTCATTTGGAAACGGAGACCGCGCTGAGCGGCTCCGCTGACGGCGCTTCCCTTTGTCGAGGCTCTGGGCCGGTCCCTCCTCGCCTCCGAGGAGCGGCGGAGGGATGGGGATGCGCCCGGGGGATGCGTTCGTGTGTGCGCGGCACCCGCAGGTCCCCGCCGAGGAAAGCACCCAGCCACGAGGGGCTTGAGCCCCCGACACCCAAACCTGCCCCCCACCCACCCCTGTGCCAGCCTGGCCCTGGGCCTCATCAGGGAGGTGCCGCTGGGGCCCCGGGCGAGGGGTGTCCTGGTGCCCGGGCCTGTGGTACGGGCCGGGAAGGCTGAGCCAGCGCAGGGGAGATGGGGACATGCGGGGGTTTGGCTGGGGTGGCCGTCCCCTCCCCAGAGCCACGGGCTGCTCCCCCCAGGAGCCCTGAGCACCGCCGGGCGGTGCCGAGGTGCTTCATGGTCGCACCTTTCCAAGGCGGCCTGATCCTGAGGGGTCTGGGCTCATCTGTTGGGCTCTCGCATGCAGAATTGCCGGGGGGCCTCGGGCTGTGCTGGTCACTGGGACCACTGGGGCATCCCCCCACCACCCCAGGATGCCGTTTGCGGCGGGTCAGTGTCGTGGGGCACCAGGAACCGGCCGCCTCCACAGGAACAGCCTGGATCTGCTGGGTGGGAATTGTCTGAAGTCCAGAGCAACTTTTACCTCTGTTACACAAAGGAAACTTTCCTCCTCTTTTTGTTGGAGATGCTCACTCCATTGAGATGATTGGCATACTGGAGAGCTGAGAAACTAAATTGTTTATACACTAATGAATAGAAGCTTGATTGCAAGATCCTGTTTGGAAAATTATAGTGCTGAATTGAAGCCGTACAATTACATCCAAAATGCTGCATATTCATTTCATCTGCTTTGCATAGAGATTAACAAGCGAGCCCTAAAGCAGACTCTGAAATTAAAGCTAACACCAGATTTAGTCACAGGTTACAAACTAAATGGCATTGTTTGATGGATATGAATCTTTACCACCTGCCTGCCTGATGATTGCTAGCAGCTTACCAGACAGCAAAGGAAAAAGTTTCTTCCCATGAAGGAAGCATAATAAGATGCTGGGCTGGAAGTGCCCCCTCCCCGTGCAGCAGCCCCCCCAGGCAGATGTCTGCAGTGGGCCTGGGGAAAGGGCTCCCGGATCCGTCGTGCCGGAGGCTGCCCCCGCTCCGTGGAGGGATGGAGAGTGGCCCCCGGACCCCCGCAGAGGCCCTGGGTGCTGGGTCCATCCAACCTCCAGTGCTGGGCTGGGTCCCTCCAGCTGCGTCCCCTTGCTGCATGGGGGGGGGGACAGTCCCATGGGGTCCCCCATCCTGCCTGCAGCCCCCGTGCTGCATCACCCATGGGTTCCCTCCCTCGGCTCGGAGGGACCAGGGTCAGGATGCTGCAGAGGATGGGGGTTTCTTGCCCCTCAGGGGGGTGGGCAGCCGCTGGGGGGTCCCTGCACCCCGGCACGTGGCTGGTCCCATCCCACCCCGCAGCATCGGGCTTTGCCACCCGACCTGCCTCCTCTCCCGTGGTGCTCCCACCCTGCGTGCTGGAGCCAGGATCTCTTTGGGGAGCAGGAATGAGGACAAGAAAGGGCAAAGGGGGGGCGTGGGGAGCAGGGCTGTGCCCGGGGGCTGCGCCAGGCAGCAGTGTTTGGTGCTGTGCAGCTCGGGGAGGGGGGGTTGCACTGGAAATGGGCCCCGTCCCTGACAGAGGAACCTGTCCCGTGTGGCAGCACGTGGGGGACATGGGACCTGCTGGCGTGAGGGAGCGGGGGGCAGCTGGGCCCCGTGTTTGAGCTGGGGCTGGCGGACGGGGGGGGTGCAGCAGCAGGCTGGCGGCTCAGGGCAGCCTTCATTGCCAGCAGGGACCTTTGGGGATACTGGGGGGTCCCCAGTCTGCATCCAGGGGCAGCAGTGTGGGCCCCAGTGGGTCAGAGACCACAGCACTTGCTCTGCAAATCAGACACCTTTATTTATTTATTTATTTTCTTTAAAAGTCAGTTACCAAACTGCAGAGTACTTCATTCCTACGGATGGGCTGGTCTGTCTCTACCACACTACAGGACAGCCCAGCCGCAGCTTTACAAGCCCCAGGCCCAGTCCCAGCCCCGGGTGATGCCCCAGCTCTGGGGTGCGGGTCCTGTCACCCCCCCACCTCCCCGTGGGAGCAGGGCTGTGCCGGGCACAGGCAGCACGGCTGCTCCGAGTCTCCATCTCCTCCATCGCTGTGTGACACTTCCCCATCTCGACCATCCAGCACTTCCCCAACTCCCTCTTGCAAACAACCGAGGGGGATGAGCATCTCCTCGGGTCCTTCCCCCAAACCTGCCCGGGTCGAAGGCGACTCAAGGGCCTTGCCTTGGCCCTTCACCCAGGGCTTGGCTTCTTCCTTAAACCTTAACTCATCCCAGGACTCTCACAATTCCATGACCAAACCCAAACCACATCAGAAAACCTTAAAATCAGCGCGACGGAGCAGCCTCCTGCCTGCAGCCACTGGCAGCTTGGAGAGGTATGGAGGGTTCTTCCACCCCAACCCCTAGACACGGGGTGCACCTTCCCTCCGGGGGAGTCACCCGCCCCAGCAGTGGGCTCCCAGGGCCAGCCCTGCACCCTATTAGTGGTGTCTGGGGGGGGCTGACCCCAGCCTGTGCGGGCAGTGGGTGCTGGGGCGTGGGAAAAGGCACCTGTGGAGGGAGGCAGTGGTGGCTGCATATGGGGACGTGGTGGTGGGGCTGCCATCCCCAAAAGCAGCGTGGCACTGGTGGGACACAGGCTGCCCTGGGGACACCTGGCCCATGGCAGCGTGGTGGCAACCTGGCACCCACCTCAGGGAGCCGGGCAGGGGGGCAGCGCCATGGCTGTGCCACCCACCCCGCTTGCACCGCTACTGCCGGTGACAACCGATGAACCGGGTTAGTGATAGCAGCCTCGTGTCGGGGTGTTCCCCGCCCTGCGCCGTGTCCCTGCCCGGGGGCTCCCGTTGGGCAGCTCCTGGGGATGTTTCTGCTGTGGAGCATCCTGTGGGGAACGCTGGCTGGGTGGAACATCCCCGGAGCCACTCAAACCAGTGCCGTCCCCATCCCGCATGCCCTGGCCTGCGGCTGTGCCATCTGCCGGCTCCTTGCCCTCCTGAGCTGCCTGGCAGCGATGGCACCACCCTGCCAGGGGCTGGCAAAGGCACCCGTCTGCTGCAGGAAGGCTGGGCTGGTGCGGGGCTGCCTGCAGCCGCCCAGCCAGCAGAAGGGATGCAGTGACAAATATGAACTGTGCCTCTGCCAGGCAGCAGCAGCGGGAGGTGCCCGGAGGCTGGGAGCCCGTGCAGCACCCCGCTGCGGGGCAGGCAGTGGATGGGGGGACAAGGCAGTGTGAGCTGGGGCAGCCTGAGGGCAGGGGGCTGGCTGGGTCCCATCCTGTGTGGCAGCCCCGTATGTGGTGGGGAAGAGCTGCTGCGTGGGACAGGGACAGCGAAGGGACCTGCTTCCCAGCCTGGGCATGGGGGCCCCCAACCCTGGGGGCTGGTGGAGTGTTGGGGACAGAGCTGCTGGCACTGCCTGCCAGCCAGCTGCCACCTCCTGCAGTCCCACTAAGAGGGGACCCTGCTGGGCCCCAGGGCAGTGTCCAGCTCTGGTTCAAGTAGCTCATCTTCAGAGAAGCTGATGTGCAAGCAGGTGTCATCCGCAGGGGAGAAGGGCAGCGTGCTGTCCGTGGGGCTGCCCAGGGTGGCCAAGTCCTTGGCCAGGGCCTCAGTGGCTGCAGGGTCGTGGCCGCTGGCCAGGGGGGACATCTGTCCACTGTCCCCAGTCCTGTCCTTGCCCAGAGTGCGCTGGCAGGCTGCGGCAGGGCCGGGCTCCGTGCTGGAGGCAGCGCTCCGGGCAGGAGTCCTTGCCTCGGGGTCCAAGAGGGTGAGCGGGCTGGCAGCGATGCTGGTGAGGCTGGAGACGCTGGGGCTGGGCAGGCTGGCGTGAGCAGCGGTCTCGAGCTTCACCTCCACTTCCAGGCTCGGGGAGGTCTTGCTTGACCTTTTTCGTAGGATGGGTGGGGGCGGGTTCAGCTTGGGAATGGGCTGCTGCCTCCTGGGAAGTGAAAGCAGAGAGAGGAGGTGATGGGCAAGTATTTATCTGCATGGGAGGGCCTGGGCTTGTTGTCCCAGGCTCTGTGAGAGATGCTTGTTTGGTCCCATCAGTGCAGCTCATCACCTACAAACGTTGGAGCTGGGTGAAGTGATGTGGCAACGACCATTCCATGGCTGGGGACAGGCGCAGGGCAGGCAGCGACCCCCAGCAGGGCATGGTGGGTTCCTTGCCCCAGCTTATTGCACCTGAGCCTGTGCACAGCCCCTGGGCTACCTGTCCCTGCCCCTGAGTGCCCAAAACACAGCCCGTCCTCCTCAGCCCCTGCTGCTGGGCCTCCGAAACGTGGCCGGGGCAGCAGCGGGGAGCGGGAGGGTCTGCTCAGGGTGTTCCCGAGCAACAGCCGTCAGGAGACGGAGGTGGCACATCCTACCTGTCCTCGTCCCCTCTGTCCGTGTCGTCCACCTTCTGCCGGCCGCTCCCGTTGAGCAGAGAGAACTCGCCGACCTCGGAGCCCTCCACGCGGCGGCTGAGCCCGTCCTGCCCCTCCAGCACAGCCAGGCACTCGTCCCCATCCTTGCTGCCGTAGCGGTGGCCGCCCCTCTCCAGGCCGACGAGGTTGAGGTAGGAGTCCCCGGGGCCCAGGGCTGGCAGCGAGCCGGGGGCCACAGGGCTGCCCAGGATGCTGGCAGGGGTGGAGGTGGAGGGCAGGTGGATGTCCAAGCTGTAGTGGTTCTTCAGGTTCAGGGAGAGGGACTGAGCCAGGGACAGGTTTTGCAAGGAGCGGTCAGCTGGGGAGAGAGGGATGAGGGGCACGTGAAGACCTGGGGACCTCCAACCCAGCTACTCCTCTGGACTGTGAGGGGTGCAGAGATGCTCTAAGACCCCCCCCGAGCCTGCTGGGAGGGTACTGGGAGCACCCCAGCTGCTCCCTCAGACCATGAGCAGTGCAGAGATGCTCCAAACCCCCCCAGAGCCTATTGGGATGGTACTGGGAGCACCCCAATTGCTTCCCAGGACCTCAAGGGGTGCAGAGATGCCCCAAAGTCCCCCCGAGCCTGCCAGGAGGGTGCCAGGAGCATCCCAGCTGCTCCCTGGGACCATGAGGGGTGCAGAGATGGTCTGGAAGGATGGTGCTGGGACCACCTCAGCCCCCAAACAACCCCCACCCTGGGGTGAGCTCGGGGTGGCGGACCCGCTGCCCCCACCCTCACCCCGGTGCAGGGGCCACCGCGCTCACCCGGCTGCCGGTGCTGCTCCCGGGCTTCCAGCACCGTCAGCTGCCGCACCAGCAGGGAGACGTGTTGCAGGAGGTCACGGTTGGTCAGGAGGAGCTGCCGCACCCGGGCCTGCGCCTCGATCCGCGCCGCCGTTTCGGCCGCCAGTTGGTCCTTCAGCAGCTGCACCTGCGGGGGGGGGGG